AATAATGTTCTTTTTAGCAGCATCATATGACCCCTTTAAGAGGCCGCTTGAGAGCTTTCGAGAAACACTCAGAAAGCGATGAAACACACCATTTCATCTTGTCGTTGGGGCCTGAGGAGAAGGTCGAGCTCCTTACGACTTCTCCCATCTCCTCCCGACAGAAGCTGAAGTTGTTAATCGTCCACATGTAAGAAAACTTCACAACTTTCACCTGTCGATACAAATAAAAAAAGAGGGATATTTATGACTGCCGTTCTCCACTCAGAACGATTCATTTTCCATTCAGCCAGTCTCTCTCACCTGTGTATAACACCAGCTTTCCGCCACAGGTCCTGATGTCATTTCCCCTGGGGGAGGGGGTGTGGGAACCCGTGACATGGCCTGCTTTCACCCTTCCACGTCCCTGATTTAGCTCACTGCTCGGCCTAAACACAAAACCAAGACAAAACTGTGCAACTGTAGTCAAAACAGGTCAGTGAGTCAATATGAATTCCCAATACGTGAACTGGTTACAATCACAAGGCAGCTCTCTCAAACGTCTATAAATAATCACAAGTGAGGTACACTATTAGGTCAAAGTTTATATAGAGCGGTTGCTAACACCAAATGCAGTCAATTATATCTTTAGCCTACAAAGAAACTAGACTTTTGCAATTATTGAAAAAAGAAAAAAACACTGCATTTACATTTATTATCAGATGCTTTTATCCTAAATGAATTACAAATGAAGAATACAACATACGATAAGGTGTTCAGGGTATCAAATCATGTGGCTTGTTACATTTCTAATGTTACAGTCCTGTAGAAAAGTTTGGGGTCAGTAAGATTTTTTGTAAATAAGTCTTTATGCTCATTAAGGCTGCATTTATTTGACAGGAAATACCATAAAACAGTAATATCATGAAAATTATTATTATATCATAAAATAGAAGTTTTCTATTTTAATACATTTAAAATTGGAATTTATTCATGTGATGCTAAGCTGAATTTTCAGCATCAGTACTCCAGTCTTCGGAGTCACATGATCCTCCAGAAATCATTCTAATATGCTGATTTGCTGC